AACCCCTAAAAGTATGTAACATAATCGCCCTAAACCCATGATAACGGCCATGAAGGCCGTGATTTTGCATACTTTTGGGGTTTAGGGTTTAGGGTTGGAATTTGAAATCGCCAGAATGGGCCTACAAGAGTTCTGTTTTCTTGAAAGTACGCTTTATGAGGTTTCATGTAAGCTTGGGGGTCCCCAAACAGTAGGTAGGGAAATCCCAAGTTACAATCAGGTGATACTCTACAGTATTGCGTAACCGCTACTGTTTGCCAACTTTTGGGGTCCAGGTAGATAGAACCCTAAACCCTAAACCCTAAACCCTGGGTGGATGCAACTTCAAGGTGTCAAGCGGGATTCCAGCTGTCAGTGGCCCCCAACAAAGCAAGCACAAAGGTGACCCCTTGAGAGGAGTTCATATGAGCAAAGGGCTAAACTCCTTAGAGGGGGCTATATGGGGGATTATAAAAGGGGACTACTATAGAGGTTAGTAAGGGGGATACTAGGAGTTTAGACTACAGCTCATATGGGCTTCCATTTTTGCTCGGGGCCTGGTTGGGCGCGGGAGGGGTCTGGAGGGGTCTGGACGGGTCTGAGGGGCTGGGCTTGCCTTGGGCACGTATTATCCAGTACATACAGTACAGCAAAGGGAAGGGTTGGATCGAGGGCTGAAGAGATTTCAGGTTCAATTTTGTGCACAGCCATACCCCTAAGCCCTAAACCCCATAAACCCTAAATCCTAAACTCCATCATGGGCTACTTCAGGGGTGGTTGGCCAAGGAGCGCTGTTTCAAACCCTGACAGACACCTAAGCCAAGCACTCAAAGAGGACTGGGAAGAAGGGACTAGAAGAAAGAACCCCCTTGAACCCCAACTTCTGAAAACTAGTCTTCATCTAGGATTCCGACGTAGCCACTGTACTAAGCCTGACCTAAACCCCAAATGTATGTAGAATGATGGCCTATTGGGCTGGTTTAAGAGTTTTTTACCTACTTTTGGGGTCTAGGAGGCTCCAAACAGCTCACATAGACTGCGGGGCCCAATGTAAACATCATTCCTAGACTTGAAACCTTAAGCCCTACCTAGACCCAAAAAGTATGTAGAATACTGGCCCGAAACCCCTTAAAACAGCCCAAACGGCCATTATTCTACATACTTTTGGGGTCTGGGCAAGCGCGAAACCCCAAACCCTAACATGACCTTCCCATGTCAGGCCACTCTGCTGCCGCATGCGTCCAACGGCTATCCGAGCTGGAGTCGCCAGTTTTAATGGCTTTGGGTTTAGTAGGTATATAGGGTTTGCTTAGGGTTTAGGGTTTACCTACCCCCAAAGTATGTAGAATAATTGCCTTTTTGGGCTGTGTTTATTGGTTTTGGGTTGTTGTTTTACCTACTTTTGAGGCAAGGTTTAAGCATTAGGGTTTACGGTTTAGGGTTTAAGGTGAATTAGGGTCTAAGGTTTGAGGGTTTTAAGTGTTTAGGATTTAGTAGGGTTTAGGGATTGAGCTTTGCAAGGTCCAGGAAGCTTGCCGTTGAGATTTAGATTTTGTTTTTGTTCTGCATGTTGCTGCTTGGTCCCGTGGTGTGGGCTTGATTCCTGTAGCTTCATGCGCTTCATTTGCCACGTTACAGGCAGCGATCGTTGTCCGGGATGCAAGGTTTTGGATGTGCACAAGCAAGCTTCCCGAACCCAGCTGCATCAGAAATTGTGCGTCCTCTCGTGAAGCGTCTTTGCATTGGCATGTTTTCAGTTGCTTGGATGTCTGCTCTTCTAGCGGATCACCTACAAATCGAGGCTTTTGTGCGACATGTTGAGGGGAGTGAAGTACTGTAATGGCCGTAGACAGGTGGGCCCGCACATACATACGTGCAATTACGTGCATATTTGTGTTCACATGACCAAGAATGTATGTATAGGTTCATTTGTGTGGAGCGTGCGCTCTTGTTTGGGGTAAGACATGTGCATTGGCATGCAGGCTGTCCATGCGCGCCAGTCATGGCTTTGCTAAACACAATCAGTGCTGTGTTATCCCGGGCCAATTTGCTGCCACTGCTTCTAAGTTTCGTGCAACGGGTAAGAGCATGAGTACAATTAAATGGTGTCATTCTGACCTCGAGCATCCCAATGGTTTTAAGGGCCATGCATGCTCATGAAGGTGGCAGACTTTTTTGCCGGACAACTATAGCTCCAAAGGTGCAAGCCATCTAAATTTCCAATCAATAAATACAGTACGAGACGACGACAGCGACGTCCACCACGACCACGACGGCCACCACGACGACCACCACGATGACCACCACGACGACCAGGACGACAACGGCGACCCACGGACCACCACGACTACCACGACCACGACCGCCGCGACCGCCGCGACCGCCGCGACCGCCAACACCACCACCACGACAGCCACCTGGACCACGACCGCCACGACCACCCCGACCACCACGACCTTGACCACAAGCCACGCCCACGAGCCACGACCACGACCACTCCGACAACTCCAACCAGCGGCCGCCATCGCCACCGCCGCCACGAAGACACAACCACCACTACGGCGGCAGCCGCAGCCACCGCCACCAGCTCCGCCCCGACCACCGTGGTCTGCTCTTTTGCCTTGGCCTCAAGGTGATGCAGCAGTTTCTCTCTCTGTGCAGCACGCGGTACAGGACCGCGCTGAATTCTGGTTACATGGCGGGGGGTAAAGGTGTTGATGGCGTGCAGTAAGCCATCTTGTCATTGGTTCACAACATTGAATATGCCAAAGCTGATCGATGCTTGTGGGAGGCCTGGTTATAAATGTCAGCCATGTTTGTGCCTCAAGGGGCCGAGGGTGGGTGCGCGCGTGCGTTCACATGCTTCTATCTTGTACCGGCACAGCCATATGTAGATTGCTATGGTTTCAGGCGTTGTCTTGCATGCAGGGTTTTTTGGTAGGTTCGCAGCTTGGTTCAGATGTAGGTCCGCTCCAGCAATCTCACTGAAAGTTTGCGCAACCCAGCTGCCCCACAAACCAACCTACGTTTTTTGGAATCCACCAGTCTAAAATCCACTTTATGGCCTTTGCTTTCAGTTTCTGTGGATTCTTGCTATATGCGGGCAGGTGCATGAATGAAGACTGTCTTGGACTTGCATCATCCCCTCGTGGGAAGGAGCCAAATCCCGAGTCTTCAACCCTCAGCATACAGTCCCCCTTAAGTAGATAGAGTATGGGGTATATGGGGATCTTATCATAATATACCCAAAACCATATTCTATCTACTTATGGGGGACTATAAATATATCATGAACCCCAGTCATGAGCCCCAGACTTGCTGCCTGTAGTACGGAATGAATAGTGATGGAAGTGAAAAGGAAATGGATACTATGGCCATTTAGGACACTATACATGGGGCTACTATCAGTATCCATTTCTCCATTTCCTATCTACAACCAGTAAGTAGATCAAGGCTTGCATGCTGCATGGGATGTAAAACTTCAGCTTGCGTCTTCGTCAGAAGAAGTCGGCTTTGGGTCATCATGGAGGCTAGTTGGAAGGCCTTGGTAGGTACATATTTCTATCTGGTTAGGCACCGCGCACACCCCATGAAACCATAACTCCTGCCCTGGAAACCCTGATACCGTTGAGACTAAAAATCCTGCATGACCCTAGTATTCTTTAGTACCATTATTCCCAACGTATGAGGTACCTAGGGTCATGCAGGATTTTTAGTATCCACCGTAGTGGAGGACATGGTACAGCCCCAGATTGATCGCCTCATGGAGCAGGTCGCAATGCTGGCTGGGTCAGCCCGGGCGTCCCAGGTTTGTATGGAAGGGCAAAATCCGTGCCCCTAAGCCCAACCACCTTGTCGCCAGAGAGGAAACAACTCGTGTTGGGAGGAAGTTCTTCTGAAAAAGGGACGAAGTGAAGCAAGCCTGCAATGTTGAGATTTCGGGGATCGGATATTACAGACTGGTACTGGGTGAGGGCAGTACCCAAAGGATCTTTGACCTACGCCTAAGACCCTAAAAGCTTGATTAGTTTGGGGCAGGGTGCATTACCTCCTCAAGTCGGAGTGTTAAATCTTGAGTCCAAACGTTCAGCCTACTGTTGTTGAAGCAGGTTTGGGGCAGGTTAGACTGAAGGCGTATAAGAACTTTTGTTTCACTCTTACGCACGTTGCATGAGGACTATAAAGATACCTGCATCTTCCAGACTATATACCCGAAACCTAAATCCCTAAACCCTTAAACTACCAATCCAGCTCTAATGTCCCAAACCTTTACCTAGACCCCAAAACTAGGTAACAAAAAGGCCCCCAAACCCCTTCAAACAGCCCAAAAGGCCGTTATTCCACATACATTTGGGGTTTAGGTAAACCTTAAACCCTAATGTCCCAAACCCTTAGCCCTATTGAGCCTTTAAGCCGGAATCTCAAGCGCGAAGCGGTTGAACATCAACTCCAAACCCTGAGTCGCTGCCCCAAGGCCATGGCATTCCCGAAACAGCTTAGTGTTTACCTGGACCCCCAAAGTATGCAAAGAGTTTTGGGTTTAGGGGTTAGGGGTTTTAGGGTTTGGGAATTAGGGTAAGTACTTGGAACGCAAAAGTATGTAGAATAATGTGGGTTGGTGGATTTTGGTGGATTTTGGGCTATTATTTGACCTACTTTTGGGGCCTAGGTCGGGCTGTAGAGTTTAGTAGGGTCTAGGGTCGGTTTAGGGTTTTAGAGTTTAGGGGCTTCGGGTGTAGGGTTTATGGGTTTCGTGGTCTAGGCAGGCTTTTAGGTTCCCCTCCATGCTATCCCCTTCTAATTAGATTCCATTTCATTGGCCTGACATGAAGCCGAAATGCGTTCAATTAGAGAGGGAACCTAGGGGGGGGGGAAATACAGAACCTGTGACCTAGAAGCCAAAATGATTCCCAACCCCAAGGCCCTGTGAGAGTGACCTGATGTCAAAAGTTTGTAGAGAAATTGACAAACAAATGTAGATGTGGTCTCAAGAAATGAGGGGTACGTCTTGTGGGTCCCCGAACAAGGGTCATAGTATTTTGGGGGGCCATATTGGGGCTTTCCTCTTTTTGGATATTACCAGAATGTATCTAGAACACCGTCCCAAGTTGGTTTACCCTAAACCCCTTAGCTGCGGACTTGAATTGTAGGCCACCAAACACCAGCCGGAGACGGGCCAGAGAATCTAGGGCGACTGTCCAAGTGTAACAGGAGCCTATATGAGCTACAGACTCAAGTTGGGTTGGGGGGACCTATTGGGAAGCCTCACATCGGAGCCATGCTTATGTTCTACCTAGGGTAACCAATGTACCCAATAAAAAGGGCTGTGTAGCTAAGATGTTGGTATCTTTACCTTTGTTTGAGGGTCTAGGTTACTCTAGGTACGGCGACTGATCCAGCGATGCTGAGAATTCGCAACCGTGAGTGCACTGGCAAGCTCAAGTCAGATGCTTCGTTGCCGTCCGGTCCTGCGACCTAGCTCAAACATTTTGGCTGCTTTGCACGCACGGCCAATAGTACACCCTACAAACCCAATATAACCCTGTAACAATATACACCTAGTTCAAGTTCAGTCTTTGGTGATCCTGGAACCTTATATGACCCAATAAACCTATACCCCCTTTAGCCCCTGCATGTGTGCTGGCAGTCAGGTTGCGCCAGCGCGTCGGCGATGGTCCAGGTAGGGATCCAACTAGCCACTGCGAGTAATGTTCGCAGATTTTGGGGCACAATGTAGGTATTTGTAGACATGAAGCTCTAGGGTATCCTGGAGGGCCAGCTGCGCGCAATTAGTTGTTACCGCGATGTGGGATACGAGGCTTGGCATTTACCCTAAGGGTCCAAGGACCCAAATAGTAGGGCTTTAGGGCCCAAATAACATAATATTAATGGTATTTGGGCCCTAAAACCCTGTTATTTGGGTCCTTGGACCCTTAGGGTTAGTGTGAAGCACAGCCACAGGCGCCTGCAGAACAGGGCCCCAGGACTTGCGGCGCCAGTAGCACGATGCGCGTGTTGTAAACCCTTGCACCCTAAACCCATAAATACAGCCTGAACCTTGAACCCCAACTGAAGTCTAAACCCTGAAGCCTAAATCAAACCTAAGCCCTGAACCCTAGATGAAACTCATAGTCCCCCTTGAGTAGATAGAATATGGGGTATATGGGGATCTGAGTATAATATACCCAAAGCCATATTCTATCTACTTAAGGGGGACTATAATTAATTTCTAAACCCTAAACCCCGTAATAATGCCTGGAACCCAAAGCCCAGGCCCAAAGCGACCTCAGGGAAGTGGAGAGGCTAACAGAGAGATGGGAGGTGCGCTCTCCCTGAACCCCAGGGTTTAGGGTTTAGGGTTTAGGGCCCAGAAGTATGTAGAATAATGGCCCTTTGGTCTGTTTTTATAGTGGTTTTGGGCTATTGGTTTACCTACTTTTGGGGTCCAGATCATGGCTTTCTGGTCAGAAAAGGGGGGGCGTCTACATATCGATATACGTTCAGAGAAGAGAGATGCAGGTACTTAGGGCACATAGGAAAATGTAGGAGATCTATAGGGTCCGGCTTAAACTTTCTCTGCTTGACCGTGATTTTTTGTGAGTGCACATCTAGAGGTTTCCCAAAATTAGGGGTACCTTTTGGGGAGTCTCAATAATAAGGAGTATAATTTTTGCAGGTCTATGTTGGGGTTTCCCTATGTAGGGAAACTACCATATATAGGGGTCCTTAGAAATCTTGAATAGATCCATCGGCTAAGGGTTTAGGGTTTAGGGTGGTAGGGTTTAGGATTTAGTGGGGCCATTGTTTAAGGTGGGAATATGGGAGCGTCTGAAACCAACCTCTGAAATTCATATTTCTGCCCCTACGGTTTGCAAGGGTACCCACATGTTGAAGAACTCGCACTCCCCATATTTCGAACTCCCAACCCCTGTTCTGAGGCCATGACGGGCTTGCTGAGCTTTTGGTAACTCATGGCCTTCGTTGTGTTAGAGGGTTGGAGGGCACCTTGCCAATGGTGCTGATGCCAAACCCTTGAGGTCTGTGTCTTTAATACTACCAGAGTCTATCAATAGTACCTACATGGAGTCTTATAGGATAAAGCCAGCCCACCGGCGGAGGTTCGCGCTGAAGGACGCTTTGCAGGCATTGAGTCTCCACCTCAGTGGTCCATGGAGTGCACGGTGTTACGGCTTGGGGTTTGTACGGTTTAGGTTTGTAGATTAGGCTGCAGAGCTAGGAGTTTAGGATTAAGTTTTTACAGCTTCGATTGCGTTAGGGTTCGTGCAGAACTTATAGGGTGGCTGACAATCCATAGGTGGAGCTCACAGTTTTGTTTGGGGTTCTTGTGTTTTAGAATTCAGGAATGCCAGAAGACCCTGGCAACCATTGTGCCAGCTTGCACATGTCAAGATAGCATAGATAGCTTCACATCTAGGTATTTCTGAAACACGTTCTTATGTAAACCCTAATGAGGACCCTAAACCCTAAACCCTACTCCCATGTTTTCCATACGGGTGGTTGTCAAAATTATGGTCCCTTTTTGGGTACCCTAAATATATCATAATAGGGATCCTTAAAGGGACCCTAATTTTGACAACCACCCATATGTTTCTGGGGACCCCCCGGTTTTGAGAGACCGTCATCTCTAGAGCCAGCTCCCAAAGCCCAAAGGCTCAAGATTCAAACGCATTCCTTCACATAAACCAGATCAATGATGAAAAAAACCCCTCCCCTTGCGTAATAGGGATTATAATAGAAATTCTAATATTAAGGCCCTTACACAGAGGGGGTTATTAATTAGGGGTCTACACTAGCTGCGTCTCAAACTCTGCGTACCTTTTTTTTTCTCCTTCGAAAATGGTCAAGCCCACTACGAAACACAAGACCTTCATACTTCGTCCCTATGACCCGAAACCAAACCCTAAGTATTCCCGCGCAACTCAAATCTTGAGGCAGTCCTTGTAGAAGGTGCCTCTACGGCTTTGCTTTTAGCAGCTGATCCTAAACATAAGGCGGCACAAGGCGTCCAACAAAGAAAGCCATCAACACCACTCTGCACGAATATGCCACTGCTGAACTCTCGAACCCCCAAAACCTTGAACCGGGCGTAAGCAATAGCAATCCCTAAGGGTCCGAGGACCCAAATAATGCGGCTTTCGGGCTCAAATACCATTACGTAATAGAGGGGTATTTGGGCCCTAAAACCCATTTATTTGGGTCCTTGGACCCTTAGGGAAAAGCAAGAGGAGGTGTGGCAGTGGCAGGTGCAGGAATAGTAGCAACAGTAACGACCAGATCGAGAACAAGCACAAGAACAATGAAACCCTGCGTAACAGCCTAAACCGTAAGCCCCAAACCCTAAACCGCTTATAAACCTACCCTCACCCTCCACTGTAGCTCCTTTCTGGGTAGTATATGGTAATCCCTTTTCCCAAAGCCATAACAGACCCAAAAAGGAGCTACAATGGAGCCCTTGGGTAAACCTAAGCCCTAAACCCTAACCCCTAAACCCTTAACCCCTTAACCCCTAAACCCCTTAACCCCTAAGCCCTCAGCCCCTAAACCCTAAGCCCCAAAACCTTTAAGCCTCGCGAATCCCAAGAGTCCCAAGGTCTCGGCTTTCCATGCTCGCAGATGCTGCGGCTCGTACCGAAGAGAGAGAGCAGCTGGGCTCTCTTCAGGTGTTGTATAGGATTCAGAGTAGGATCTAGGGTTTAGGAGGGGAGTTATATAGGGTTTGGGATTTAGGCTTTAGGGTTTAGGGCCTGGATGAGTACCTAAACCCCAAATGTAGGTAGAATAATGGCCTTTTGGGCTGTTTTAAGTGGTTTTGGTCCATTATTCTACCTACTGTTGAGTCTAGGCAGGATTCAGGGTTTGGGGAGTAGGATTCAGGGTTTATAATGTAGGGTACAAGGTTTAGGAATAAGGATTCTAGGGCTTGGGGTTTAGGATTTAGCGTTCAGAGATGAGGCTTTTATCTGGCTTAGTAAGGAATGAGGGATTGCATCCCCGTACTGGTCCCTCTAGAATGCCCAAGAACAATCCCTATAAGCCGTAAACCCTGAACCCTACACAGAAAACCAACTTCGGCATTCGGCACGACCTGCGAAGTGCCAGGATGCTTAGAGTTCACTGGGCTTTGCATGTCCGGTCTGTGGGTTTAGGGTGCAGGGCTGCGATTGGCTTGATTTCCCCAGGGGCGCGGTTTAGGATTTAGGGTTTAGGGCGTTAGGCTTGAGTTTTCGGGGCTTGGGCCTCCCAGAAACCCTCGGCAGTTAGAAAATCGAACCATTGTCCTATTGTCGCTTTTCCGCCTGAACAGTCAACATAGGGGTTCCACAAAAGTTACATAGAGGTAGCTGTAGAGTCCCGGTTATGGGTTCACTAACTGTATATGCGGAAGCCCTATTCTTTGGAAATGCATACGGTAGTTGCCCTAAATAGGGGGACCTTAAATAATAGATCCCACAAATTTTTGTTCCTTATTCGGAACCCCTAAATTGGGACCTCTGCCTTTGGGAAGCCACCATATAGGTTGGTTTGGGACTTAGCTGGGATCTCCAGAATTTCCAGCACGCAGAGTCGCAGCTGTAGTTGGGTTAAGGGTTCTTTGCCTGCAAGAACCCTGAAGACCCCAAGCCTTGAAAGCATCAAGCCTACACCCTATCTAGGGTGTAGGGATTAGGGACCCTGAACCTTCAACTCTAAAACCCTAACCTTGCCTAAAATCATAAACCCGCCGATATCGAGAAGACTTGCAGCCTCAATGTACGGATGAGGTTTTAGCTTAGGGTGTAGGGTCGCGAATATGAAGACAGTTGCTGGCCGGGTCATTGAGCGGCTTCGCCTAAAGGTCTTGAATGTTCACATAGCAGCGAGTTCAGATATCCATACACACACATATACATATGCACGTATATCTACAAACGTGTATAATAATGCCGGCAGGGTGCTTTCTCTGTTGAACATTAGGGCATGGACCTCCATGTGGTCAGGTTTACAATCTTTTCTTGCCAGAAACTTCTTCATCAGCTGAAAAGATTAATCCAGATAGCACATTGGGATAATCTTAAAAAGTCCCGTGTTGTTGTACGGAATAGTCGTTGGGACCATAAACCCTGAAGGCGAAGAGATTTCTATAGGCCCAAGAAAGGGGTGGAGGACAGGCATTTATCAAGCGATGTAGAAGCCTGACTAGTTAGGGGTCTGTTGAGGGTGTAGGGTTCTGAGAACAATCATGCCCCTATGGTGGATGGACGAAATCTGTCGGTGTTGAGGAGGGTTTGGGGATATTACCCCGATAATGGAGAATCAAATGGACAAGACAATGAATGACACAAACCTTGTTGAGATGGGGACTTATGAGGATACTTACCAACATTATTGTTCTAGACTCGTTGTGTTGTTGAAGTAAAGGGATAGGAGAGTATATAGGGGACTACTATGGGGGGATTAAGGGGGATGCCAGGAGTTCATCAAATTCTCATATGGGAGACCCTGCGCGTTTTTGGGGCTCCCTCCGGTCCCTACTTTAGCACCCCAAGGTCCCGCAACGAAGCTGGCAGACATGCAAGCCCTAAACCCTAAGTCCTAAACCCTAAATCCTAATTCCTAAACCTTACTTCCCAAACCCTAAAACCTAAACCGCATGGTCCGACAAGGCCCAGGGCCTTTTAGACTTATTTGCCATACGGTGGATACTAAGAATCCTGCCTGACCCTAGGTACCTTATAGCATTATAACCCCCGTAAGTACATAGAATATGGGGTACATGGGGATCTTGCCATAAGATTCCCACAGCCATCTTCTATCTACGTAAAGACCGAAATAATGGGGTCTTAGGGCCTGAATACCATTCATGGTACAGTATTTGGGCCCTACAACCCTATTATTTGGGTCCTTGGACCCTTAGAAGGAAAATTCGAGTAGCTTGCAGTAGCACTGTAGGTAGCCTTATCTGCGAATCAGCAGTACTACAGCAGGAGCCTCCCATCTGCAGTAATTATTCCTCCTCAGATTGTTGTAGCAGACCTCACTCTTAGATACTGACATTGGGTTGGATACTGATTTCGTGTCCCCACAAGATGGCTGAACATATTCCGGCCCAAACAGTTCAAATGGTGGCCTGGTCATGCAGCCCAGGAAGGACTTGAACCAGAAAGTCGCAGGCCAGAAACATGTCGGTTTAGGGTTGAGGGCTTCGGGTTTCTCAAAACCCTCAGATCAATCAATCAATCTACTACCCCTGGTGCCCGGCAGGGAATGACGGAATTGCGGTTATCCCTTATACTTGTTCCTGGCATCAGTGTCCTTCTGCAAATCCTAAACCCCTGCATCTCAAATCCTGTCCGTTCTGACCCTAAACCCTGGCTGCCCTAGCTCAAAGCTCTGCAAGACGGGATTTATTTGCAAAATTGGCTGTCAGCTTTTTTAGAACACTTGCATTCAGGATGTAGTATTTAAAGGCGTCCATCGGGATGGCTCAAGGTGTAGGGTTCAGGGATTACTGGGTCAAGGTTGGACATAGTAAGCTTTCGTTGTAGTATGCTACAAACTTAGAATCTAGGGAGATGGAACTCTTTTTGTGGAACATCGGCATGAGGAACGAGAAGTACAGGCACCCCCAATGCGGTTGTAAGTTGGTGCGACTCTTAAGTAGGTTATCCTGGTTGAACCCAGGCACGATTTGTACTATACTAAGACGTACGGGAATCGCCTGTAGGTGCTTCTGAGCTGTTACAGTAAGGCAGGGATTTGAGGGCTTTAGGGTTTTGGCCAGGAAGCCTCGTGCCAAAGGTATGGGTTCCCGTTTGCTTGATGTTTTAGGGGGGGAGGTTGAGGGTTGAACTCACATTCCCAGAGGGTTTAGGATTTAAGGTTTGAGTAATCTATCCTTTTGGTACCCCAAGCACTGAAGAGAAGCCCTGCAGGCGTTGCGGAAGACTTGATTCGGCGGGGTCTCGCGCAAGGCGATCAGGCACCAGGATGGGTTCATCGTCCCCCTAAGTAGATAGAATATGGGGTATATGGGTATTGGTCTAAATTCCCTATAATACGGGGTCCTATTTTTGGGTTCCCATTATAATACGGGTCCCTATATAAATTNNAATTTCTCCATTTTGGGAACAGCAATTTAGGGAAACTACCATATGGGGATCTTAGTATAATATACCCAAAGCCATATTCTATCTACTTAAGGGGACTATAGGTTTTTGTTTTAGGCTCGGGCTTTTGGGCTGAATGGTCGGACGCTCTGGGTCCAGGGATCTAAGTTCAGGATTTCGGGTTTAGGGCTTATAGGGTTTAGGGTTTGGACTAGGGTTTAGGTTTTAAAATTTAGTGCTTAGGGTTTAGGGTTTAGGGCTTAAGGGTTTAGGGTTTCCTATAGGGTTATGCGGGCTCAGGCATCCCAAAAAGCTTGGAAATTCTGGTGCAGTCGATGTAGGTCAGCTTGGTGTTTGGTAGGGGTTACACAGGGACTACTATGAGGGCCTGCTCCTCCATTCTAAACCAATGAACCGAGTTGAGCCCTAAAACTTTAGAAAATGATATGGGTTTCGGGTTTAGGATATACACATACACCATCACCATTGGGTAGCTTTTGATCAAAATTATGGTCCCTCGCGGGAGAAACCCGTAAGCCATGTACCATGTATAGAGGACTCTGGGCCGGCTTGAAGCATGTGCTCAAGCATCTGCTACGGACTGTATTGTAGAAAAGCTTTGATTAGGTTTCATGTTTTGCGGGTTCGTTCTAAGGAATTACTGTACACGGACTCCTTTCTGGGAGTTCTATAGGTATAGAGGGGTTTCAACAGAGATGTATAGGTTGAACGTTCAGGATATGGTGGGCATAAACCTAAACCGTAAACTCTCTACAGCAAGCTTTCTTTGCGACATAGAATACCCTATACCCTAAACCCAAAAGGTCCGCTATGTTACCCCTTTCGAGGGAGTTTAGACCCGAAACCCTGAACTCTAAACCGTCAACCCTATATAATCCCGTATACAACACCCTTTAAGGAGTTTAGACTGTGGCTCATATAGCCCTTACATAACCCCTAAAATGGCCCACTAAACCCTGAACCCTAAACCCTAAACCCTTAACCCCGATATATAACCCCTGTAAAAGGTTTTAGGGAGCAGCGTCTGGAGATTCAGGTTGCCGGGTCTCGGGTTCAGGCTTTACAGGGCTTAGAAGGTTGTAGGGTTAGGGTTAAAGGACTCACGGTTCTGGGTTAGGGTTTGGGGTTTAGGGCTCAGGGCTTAGAGGGTTGTAGGGTAAAGACTTCCGGGGTTCGGGCTGAGGACATGTAATTCCCATTCCCTACGAATAGACCCCTCCCCACCACCCTAATAATCAATATATCCCTCATTCATAATGTCATTGCAGGGCGGTGTCGCTATTCTTAGTCTTCTGCCTTCTGCTGTTTCTAGTTCATTCGGGGAATGGGATTACGAAGATTCGAAGTCTTCCTTCCATGGTGCCAAGTTGAAACATCGGGAGACTTGTTTTGCGAGGTATGGGGCATTTCCAGGGAAGAGACTAGCGGCACTGCAATTTGAGATGTTTGGTGCCTCAGATCGAATTGTTAGCTCCGCGAGCTTTCGTGTTTGCAGGGCGCAGGTGCATGCTTCAGGATGTATGTTGAAGATTTTGGAGTTAGCGCTATGATAATTTTATCATAAGCCCGAAGCAACCTTTTGTAAGCAGCTTCCCCAGCGCGTTAATAACCCCGGGGTCCCAGCTTAAACCCGAAACACCAAACCCTAATCCTCAACTCTCAAGTAACCCCAGCATCTACCAAAGCAGGATGTAGGGTTTTTGTTGCTTGGGTCTTCTCTGGCGGTTGAGCCGCCTTGAGGTGCTCACTCACAGGGCTTCGGGGAATGTCCGTGTTGCCATTATTATAAGGAAGCTGAAGTGAAGTAGCCTGGTAAAGAAGGCACATATATAGACATGTTTACATAGGATGGAAACCCAACTTCAGTTCCTGAACAGCAGCCCAGATGCGCTCATAACTTTTGCTGCAGGACATTATGAACTATCGGTGTCATAGTAGCTGAGGAGGTTTAGGGTTTAGGGATGCTTGAAGCGGCTTTTGATTTCTTGCATCTTGCCACTAGGGAGCGCGCCTGTTTAGATGCTCTGAACCTCAACAAGAAGCAAGTTCCTGAAATTGGTGGGGGGCAGGTGATGGAGATGCCCGAATATACTGTAGGTGCCTACTAAATGCAATATTGTTTCGAGGAAGGTCATATTTCAGTATGTTTCTTTCAGGGTTATCAGGTAACAACGCTGGCAATTATAGAGGCTTCTGTTGTGGAAAGACAAAAAAGACAATCCCGGCTTACATGTCATGTCTATATTCCTTTCCATTTCGTTTAAGTTGTAATGGTATTATGTGTTTGGCTCCCAACTATTGTGGGGGGGAGGTACTTGGAGGTTTATCCTTGCCAACGTGGCTCTGCCCCTAAACCCCCTAAGCCCTGAACCGTGAACCCGAAGCCCTAAGTCCTTGAAAGCCTAAACCCTGAACCCCAAATCCCTATCCTTAAACCCTTTACCCTTGCTGAAGGCAAGGGTTGTGAGGGAATGGCATTGGTGATTGTTTAGGCTCCGCAGTAGACCCCCCTCTCAACCCTATAGGGCTTATGGGCTTAGAAAACCCTATAGAATCCTACCTGGACCCCAGAAGTGAGTAAAATAATGGCCCGAAACACCTAAAAACGGCCCAGGGCCATTATTCTACAGATTTTTGGGGTTCAGGTAGTTTGGATTGCATGTCTATGTTCTTTTCCAGCCTTTACCAACTATCTCGGCGCCTGCAGCCCTAAGACTTCCAGAAATAGTGTAAGTATTTGGTATAGGGTACCCAACGCGAGGTTTCCGAAGCCTTAAACCTAAATCCTAAACCCAAACTCAACTGTACCATACATGGCGTCAGGCCATGAGTTTGTCCTCGCCCCGGTTTCAGGAGATCGACTACAAGCTGCGCGAGGCTGTGATCTGGGCCTTGTAGGGATTCTATCGCGGGCTACGCTTTAGGATTCAAAGGTTCAGGGTAAGGTTTAGGAATCAAGGGTTCAGGTGAGCAAGCATCGAAATTCTAGCCTTTTGCAGCAGTACTGCAAAAAGAAATGAGTGCAATGAGCTCAGGAAGCGATACCTAATCCCAAAAGCGATACCTTTCAAGATATTTGGGTAAGCCTGCGTCAGGGGGAACATCGATTCCAATACGAAACTCTCGCGAAACTCGTACTACAATGAATGCAAATCCGGCCGGCTCAAGGGGACGTCGATTCCAGTACTAAACTTGTACTACCATTTAGTGAAAATCCAGGCGGCTCAAGGGAACGGTGATTCCAGTACTAAACTGGTACTACAATTGAATGAAACTCCAGCCGACTCGTGCAAGCCCATGTGGCACTGCGGCACACATGAGTTGGCGATACCCCAGTGTAAAATGT